GGGCAGCATGCCTGGCTCCTCCTCTGACTCCATCCGCCCCTTCTCCTCGTCTGTAAAATGGGGGTAAATAGGACCACAGGAGTGAGCCATCTGCAGCTGAGTCCGAGCCCTCTCCCCTAGACAGGCGGCCCAGCGGTTAGGAGGACTGGAGAGTCTGAAACCCTGCTCTGTCCCTTCTTGGCTGTGCAACCCCAGCCAAGGGGCTCCCCTCCGAGCCTGAGTCCCCTCTGTAACTGCACTCCGCTCAGAGATTTGCCAGGAAGGTTAAATGTCCTGGGACCAGTAGGCGCTTCTGCAGGGTGAGCAGTGTCTACACCGGCCAACCAGACAGGGGTTGTTGTGAGGCTTCTAGCTGTCCCCAGGCTGACACTGGCTAGAGGTGGAAGCTAGAGTCTGGGCTGGCCCGGTCCGGCCTCTGTTCTCATCAAGATGGGGGCCAAGGCATATCACCTGATTGTGATTCCCTCTTGAACCTCAGTTTGCTCATCTGTTAAGGGGATGAGTGACACTTTCCTGCAAAACCATCTGCCCTGAATTCAAATGAGTTCCGGCTTAAGTAATGTCTGCACCAGAGCTTTGGGCACCATAAAGTGCAAGGGGTTAGCAAGCTGGTACAGGAGCCCACGGCTGGTGGGTGGGTCCACGGACACCTTGGAAGAGGCGTCAGGAAGTGAGGGGGCTGGTACTTGGCCTTCCCCAGCCCAGGGGACCCAGGATGACATTGTGGACTCTCCTCTTCTCAAAGCCCTTTCTATACTCAGCCCTGAACTTGGCCCTGACTGGAAACAGGGCTTCCCCATGCTGAGACCCCCAAGGATGTCTGGGCCGTCCTAGACAGTGTCCGCCCTGTGCCAAGTCCTGTGGGGCTGGCCAGGATGGCTGGATGTGGCCCTGCCCTCCGGGAGCCTCGGGTCTGCAAGAACAGGTGCTGACCCAACAAACAGAGGCATTTGCAGCCCCCTGTGAGGGCTGTGCTGCAGAGAGGCACCCGACTAGGGCTAGGGGAGGGGGCTCCCAGGGACACTGAGCCAAACCCTGCAGGGTGAGTAGGAGGTAGTTGGGGAGCAGATGGGGGTGGGGGAGCCCCCCAGACAGAGGGAAGAGCTTGTAGGGAGGCCCAAGGGGCAGGAGGGCAGGGAGCAAGGTGGGTGGAATAGAGGGAGAAGAGGTTGGCGGGGTGGCCTTGGGGACAAGGACAGGCCTCCCTGTCAAAGCCGTGCAGGGAGCTGTCTGTTGGCCTCTGACTAAAACTAAATTAGTGCAACTTTGTTCTCTTCCTATTGTTTTTCTCTTTCTTCCTTCCTTCTTTCATTCCTTCGTTCCTTCCTTCTTTCTTTTCTTTCTTTTCCCAGGAGAAACTGCACGGATTTACAGATGACAGCAAATTTAACATGGTCTATGAAAACCTCTAGGACGAGCTCCACTGGCCCATAGATCCAAGGCCCCACGGCAGCCCCTCCCTCCACAGGACTGGCCCCACACCAGGAGCGAGGCCCCCGGGGTGCCCCATCACCTTGCCCCCACATTCAAGGTGTTCCCGGCCTTGGGTCTGCCCCTTGCCCCCCATTCTGTGCCCTAGCCACACCCACTGAGCATCTTGCATCTGGCTTTTGCCCAGGCTCTTCCCTCAGCCTGCCAGCCCATCCTCCAGTCTCCATGGGCTCTCTCGGACACCACCCCTCCCCAAGCCCTCCTCACTCTCTCAAGATCCACAGGCTCTCTCGGCACCAGCCTGTACCACAGACTGTAAGACCAGCCACGAGCTCCTCAGGAGGTTCCCGGCAGTGAGTGAGCACAGAAAGGAACAATTACAAAAATGGCCCCTGCCCGGCTGGGTCGAAGGCACAAGGCAGCCATGCAAGGTGGAGCAGGGTGCTAGGAGGGGTAGGCAGGGGTTGTGGGCGAGACGGGAGCTGTGCAGAGGCTGGGCTGGGCTCGAGGATGAAGTTAGGGGCCAGGGAGGTGTCTGAGTGGAGGACATCAGGCTGGGGGCCTGGAAACTGGAGGGCAAGGGAGGAGACCTGGCATGTTTGGGGCGGGGAATGGGGAGACGCTGAGCTAACGGGCTGAACCTCCTGAAGCTCTCCATCCCCCAACAAGAACTCCAAGGTTGTTTCCCATCAGCCTGGCCATCTGCACTCATTGCTTTGTCACCTCTGCCACCGTCCTCCAGGCCTCAGCTGCTCCTCCATCACCCCACTGAGGCCCAGTCCCCCAGAGCCCCAGTCTGGCCTACCTGGACCCCACCCCCCTCCTCTCTTGATCGGCCTTGTGCACCTGGCCCAGGGCTTTGAGGACCCCTCCTCCCTCACACAGTCTAGCTGCAGGGCTTGGTGCCTGGGGCGCCTCCGACCGGTGGAAGGCTCCTTGGTGTTGCTGGAGCTCAGGCCCTAGGCAGACGGCGGCCCCTCGATGCTTGAACAGAGCCATTTCTGCGGCTTCAAGTGCTCATTTCTCCCTCTCAGCAGCCCTGCTGGAACCCATTTCACAGGCAGACGGGCTGAGGTGAGGGTGGGGAATCACCCAGGCTGTGGGGCTCTGCTCCTTCCCTCCCCTGCTCTCCCCCATCCCTGCTGCTTTCTACTATCTCATTTGTAAAATCCTTCCTCCCACCCCCAGGCTGCCCCAGAGGTCCTTGAGGGGCCCTTGCGCACAAAACATGTCCAGGGACAATGAGGGGCCCCGACTCTGGCCCTGAGCAGTACCAGGCCACCAGTTTGTGGGCATCCAGATAAAACATTTATGGGATCAGGGTGCCTGGGTGGCGTAGTCGGTTAAGCGGTTAAGCGTCTGACTCTTGGTTTCGGCTCAGGTCATGATCTCGGGGTCATGATCTCAGGGTTTTGATCTCAGGGTCGTGGGATCAAGCCCCCCATTGGGTTGTACGCTCAGCATGGAGTCTGCTAAAGTTTCTCTCTCCCTCTCCCTCTCTGCCCTTCTCCCATGCACTCGCTCTCTCTCTCAAATAAATAAATAAATCTTAAAAAAAAAAAAAACCTGTGGGCGCCTGGGTAGCTCAGCCAGCTAAGCGTCTGCCTTCGGCTCAGGTCATGATCCCAGGGTCCTGGGATCGAGTCCCACATCAGGCTCCCTGCTCGGCGGGAAGCCTGCTTCTCCCTCTGCCTCTGCCCCTCCTCCCTGCTCATGCTCTCTCTCTCTCTCTGAGATAAATAAAAAT